TTTGCTTGCAAAGGCTTTCGCCTCAGTCCTTCTCGAAGTTATCCTCATTTCTTGGAGATAGAGTTTTATTATAATTTCATTTTCTTCTTTGGTCAATGATTTTATTAGAATTTTTTATTTCGACGATATCCATTCGTTTTGGCTTGCTTGTTTGCTTCCTCCTCCGACCACTTATTATTAAAATTTGTTCTCTCCATGATTGAATTTCGTACTGTTCTGGAGAATGGAGATTTCAGTTTCGTTTCTCTTAAGATTTTAGCATCTATAAATATTATTTTATTTGCTCATGATTTTTGTTTGGAAGAGGGAATGAAAAGGAGAGAGAAGGTCTTTTTCCGAGTTCTGATGTGTGGATAAATGGAAAAAACATGAAAAAATGAAAAATGATTTTTTTTTTTACACAAATCACAACGATAATAATACCTCGACTTAAATATAGAAATTAGATATTAAATATGAATATTTTTTTTAGTGGGAAGTCAAACTTTGATTCACCACGTTTGAAAGAATTATTTCTTTTTGTTAGACTCAATCATAGTTGGTGATATTATAATGACTTTAATTATAATTTGTCTTTAAGGTCAATGGTGCTTGTGGTACTATCAAATTGATAAAATTAATTAGCATTTGAGTCTCTCTCTAAATACTCTTGGCCACGTTTACGTGTTGAAATGAAATACGTTGGGAAAGAATGTTACGTGACATTAAATTAATTAAAATTTGGACTGGTCAAACTCATCGTAATTTTGATTGTTTTGGTCCAATTCTCTTGTTTATAATGTTTATATTTTAATTTAATTCCAATAACATTTTCTTTACCTTTCAATGATTCAACATTTACTTTAAATTATTTAAAAAATGTTATCCCTATAATATCCTTGCATTATTGTTTTATTACAACTAACTAATTAACTAATACATGATATTACCAAATCATATTCTAATATTATTTATAACTCACTCATCCATTATATCTTCAGAACTTCACACTAAAAAAAGCCTTAACTCTTAGTAAATTAATTTTTTTAAGATATGTACATATTGAATCAAACCAAACTAAATTGGATGAAAGTACTCCCATTTAACTAATTTGATTAAATTAAGAAAGTTAGGTAAGCAATGTAACACATTTTTCCTAAAATATCATAATCATTTTTCTTAATACCCTGTTTTCTTCTACTACTTAATTATGGTTGAGAGTGTATCTATAGGGATAATTAGAGAAAATTGATAAATATGAAAAAATGGGTCTTATATTTAGGACCAAAATTAACTCAATAATTAGGTCTTATATTAAGGACCGGGGGAGTATTTAGGTTTGTTTCATTTAGTTGATTGGATTACACCGTCCTAATTGATACCAATTAGGCCTAATTTAGCCAATCTTTTTGTTTTTGGGCCAAGTCAAGCAGTATTTATAAATTCTGTACAAATCTCAGTGGGAAATCCATCCAAAAATTACAACAAGGTTAAAGTATGTATTTGATCTTTTAACTTTATATAAAATTTTAATTTGGTCTCTTAACTTTAAAAAACATATATTCGATCATTTAATCCTAAAATTGTCATGCTTAAATGATAATTTTTTGTAACAATCATAGTTGTTTTAAAAATTAAATTCAATATGTTAACATTTGAAAATGTTTTATCAATATCTAAAATCTCAATGTATCATTTTTTTTGTTAATAATTTTAGAGTCAAAGGACTAAGTATAATTTTTAAAGTTAATAAACTAAATTGAAACTCGTTATAAAATTAAAAAATTAAATATATACTTTAGCTTTGTAACAGTTATTCAACCAAAATAATTTAAATTTCAACAAATAAAACCAAATGGACCCATTCAATTTGGTTGGGCTCAACATTTTTGCAGACCATCCAAAGCTCATGATATGTATCATTCAATATTCACTTGTTTACTCAACATGCATTTTTTATTGCGCTTTTGTTTATAAATAACCACATTGGAATTTTACCAGCAGGATATAGTCATATATCATAAATGGAACTGGTCTCTAAAAGTATTATCACAAACCACAATATTTAGTTTCAATTCTCAAATTACAAATGAATAAATGTTAGACATATTAATTCAAAAAAAAATATTGAAATTAAGCCGATACTTTCAAAAAAATGAAAGTTGCCAAATTTCAGGAGGGCAGAACGATAGCCATCATCAATGAGTGGCGCATTGATTTAAATTGCCATTTATTTATCTTTCTTTGATCAAGATATAATGATATTATGTTATATTTTAATGGGTAGGGATCAAATGTCTCTTCAAAATTATTTTGATTTGATCCTTATTTAATTTTAGAAAATTAAATAAATATATAGCCTTATTTATATATATTGAAAAAAACTAAATCCTAACATTCAATTTATATATTAGATCCTATTACTAAATTGATATGTTATAATAATGTTTCATTATTATAAATTCAATGAATTTGAGGAGTTAATTCTGTGCCTCTTATTTTGTTTTGTTTGATGCATAGGTGATCCAAAAATCATTTGTTTGAATTTTGTTTATATAAGGAGACTAGCTCTTTATATTTATTAATTTATTGCTATATTCTAATAATTAAATATCACATATACAATTAACAAGTTTGAAATAAGAAATACGAGGGCAAAAAAGAAAAAGAAAAAATGATTTAAATTTTTGCAAATAAATGTCATGAAAAAGTTGAAGTTGATAAAATATTATCATTTCGTCTGCTAAAGTCATTATAATTTTGATTTTTAGCGCCAAATAGGATTTCTCTTTTGCCCTACGTGCCCCCAGTGTTTCTTTAAGATCTATTGGTTTGACATTTAATAAAAGCTATGTTGGCCACAACACCTAAATTCTCTAAAAATCTAATAGATTTTCCAACTCTTCTGTAATGCTATGCAAATTCTGTTGACAATAATACTTGCAGAAAAACGGTAAATCCAAGTCGTGTTCTATGGACACTGTCCTTGAGAGTTATTCTATAATAACTAGCAAAGCAAGAAGCAGCACTCCCTGAGATTAAACGGATTCTTCTTACAAAAGCAGGGTGAGCAGAATAGTGAAAGATAGGAGAACTCAACGGGATAGAACAATAGAAGGAGGGAAGAGAGAGTTGCTTGAAAGCTCAAAGCTCAAGGGGTTATCATGAACTTCACTCTCATGCACCTTTGATAGGCCGTGAATCACAATATCATTAGGCACATTTAAATGTGGCTAATGGAAATTAACTCATAAGTAAGTGCGATTTTAAGTAGTAATTAACTTGTTTAGTGACTATTTAAGGTAAGTAAAATCTTTGGTTATGAACATTAAAAAGGTATACTTGTAATAAAATGATATATTAATTAGACAGATATCTCTAATAAAATGCTCAGTATTACATTTGACTCGTGCATAAGAGATGACGGTAAATTGCTGGATTTGTCTCCAGTGACTCATTGTGCGTACGAGTCCACTTTTTCTTTTGACTCATTTAGTAATCCAAGATTACTTATCACTTAGACTCTCATAATTCCAAGCAGTGCGGGACTCTTCATTTGACACACTCACACATTATTTACAACAAGATACAATATCTAGAATTTGAAATTTTATGAAAATAAATGTCAGACATGCGTAATTTTTTTTGTTAAAAAAAGGTAATTTGTTTTCGAAGACAACGAATTTTTTTTTTTTTTGTAATTTCTAATTTGATGTGTAGCAATTTCATCCACAAGATTGTTGTCATATTTTTTATTAGGTCTAATTTTGTTAAAATTTTTTTTCCTGTATCAAGTATTTATGAATTTTGTACAAATCTAAGTGGAAAATCCATCCAACAATTAAAACAATTATTCAACCAAAATAATCCAAATTTGAACAAATAAAATCAAAATCGACCAATTCAATTTGGTTGAATTCCAACATCTTGCAGACCATTCAATATAATGAGCTTTGGATGATCTGCAAGATATTCACTGTTTTGGATGAAACTTACATAAATTAAAGTTGTCAAATTTAATAGTTTAGCCAACTCATTATTGTTCAAAGTATAGATACTTCTCTTAATAGAAATTTAAATCTTAATTTTTCACTTTATAAGAAACTAGTCCCATTCTACTAAATTTAACCCCGGTTGGGAGTTATATTACTGTTGTTTTTGCTAAACACAGATATTATCATATTAAAAGAAATCCTATTTAGATATTATCGGGTATTGAATGTGAGCACTTCTAGTAATGATTCAAACTTACGTTAGAAATATAAAAACAAATTCTGGTAAAAAACTTAGGATGGACCGGGTGTAGTATTATCTTGGGCTGTAGTGGGCCTCGTCCCCTGCAACGTGAAAATTGTGGCTCAGTATTCCTTTTTTAATTTTAATTTTAACTTTAACTTTTTGTTTTTGGCCATCTCTGTTCTCCTTTTGTTTACCTGCCGTCCTCTTCTTTGGGCGTCGCACCCAACTGGCGATGGGTGAATCACCTGTATAGAGATCTTTCGCCTCCATTCTCGGTATGTTGTTCTTCTTCTCTCTCAGGTTACCTCTAATTCTAATATCAACTAGTAATCACTTCGAATTTTATTTTATTTTTTCACTTTTTGGGTTCATTTCTGTGCGCAAATGATTCATTCCTTAATCCTTCCGGTCTCGGTGGGGGAAGCAGTGCTTGGTGATTACTTCACTGCCAAAGATTATTCATTCAACAGTGTGAATTGTCTGAGTTTTCGTTTCAATGAAAAATTTTGGTTTTAAGAATCACTTGTGAGGGCTATTTAGTTACAATCTGAAACTTACTCCTAGATGGTATCGATCTTATTGGGGATTGGGGTGCCGGAAACTGACATCAAGTAAAACTTATGATTATGATAGGGACGGGGTTGTATTCATGAAGCTTATGATACTATAGTTCTGTCCGTCCACCACAATTATTTTCCTATTCTTATGTTATCATTATTGTTGATAGGCTTGCCTTGAGTTTTAGTCCCTAACTGTTGTTGAAGAGTTAAAAATGTGATGTATATTGTTATTTTCCAATGGACTTTTTATTAAAGGTAAACCATGGGCGGATGAAAGAAAGTGAAGCGCGTAGATATTTCCAGCAGCTTATAAATGCTGTTGATTATTGCCATAGCAGGGGTGTCTACCACCGAGACCTAAAGGTAGGACCTACTCTCCGGTCTTATCAGAACAATTTCACTTTGATATCAGAAGAAATAATCTCTTACATAGCTGTCATTCTTGTTTAACAAAATTGTTGCAGCCAGAAAATTTGCTATTAGATGTTTCTGGAAATCTTAAAGTTTCTGATTTTGGTTTAAGTGCTCTCTCCCAGCAAGTCAAGGTAATCATGTTTCATTGGTTTCTGAGGTTTACTTTTCATTGTTATTTATCTTTGTTCAGTGTAGTGATATTCTTGCTGTCAACTCTACTGCTAATCCTTACAGAAAAAGAAAGTTAATCAGAAAGCAAAATAATTGTTTTGCTGAGCTTGGAAAAGATATTTTTTAAAAATTTATTTTTAACATATCTGTATATTGGGCAGATAGCTTGCTTTCAACACCATACATTAGCATATCTATATATGCTTGAATTCTGTATTGGCAGTCTTTTTTAGTGGAACTGGTAAATGATAATGCAGGTTTAAATTAGCCCTTGTTTAGTTTGGTCGGTGTTGTAAAATTCATAATACTTTTTGTACACGACTTCTTCCTGTTATTGTCTTGTATCGTTTCTTGGTTGCGTTGACTGTGTCCTGAAGCCTTAGACTAAATATAAGTAACTGTTCAACTTTATCCCAGGAAAACTCCTTTTTCTTCCTTCTTCTTCTTCTTCTTCTTCTTCTTCTTTTGAATCAGAAGGATGTGGTTATTGAGTTATATTGTCTCATTTTTCTCAACTGATACTAAAAGTGAGCTAGAATTCCTCAAATAAGCATTGTCATATCCGGTCTCAGAATCTGGTCGCTCATCCACACCCATGTAGAGTAGTCTTTTTTTTTTTTTTTGGTGATAGTGTAGAGTAGTGTCGATAAAACAGTTTCAATGCTATCTAGGCCATGTTGCATCTTACAGTATGATGTGTTGACAGGATGATGGACTGCTGCATACTACATGTGGAACGCCAAATTATGTCGCTCCTGAGGTGCAAACAAATACTGTCCCTTGCTACTTTGCTGTGTTTTTGTGTTTTATAAATTTCAACCATGCTATGATAATAATATGCACTCTTTCTAAACAGGTCCTTAATGATAGAGGCTATGATGGGGCAACTGCAGATTTGTGGTCATGTGGGGTGATTCTCTTTGTATTGCTTGCAGGTTACCTGCCTTTCGATGAACCTAATCTTGTGAACCTATATAAAAAGGTGAGCATTTGTGATTTCTTCTGCACAATTTTCCTGTTCCCCATTAAGTTTCTGTTTATTACTTCCTTTTCCTGATCCACAGATCTCAGCTGCTGAATTTACTTGCCCCCCTTGGCTTTCTTTCAGTGCCAGGAAACTGATCGCTCGAATCCTGGATCCAAACCCTGCAACTGTAAGAGAGAGCATTTGATTTTCTAGCTGTTTCATCTACTGTAAAAAAAGGAATTTTTTTTTCGCCTGAAAGGAAAAGCCGTTTCCGTGGGCTGAGTTTGACTTAGTGGCACCATATCAACTTAATTTTGTGAAATGTGTAAAAAAGTAGACGTTTCAGAAGCATTTTGGGAAAAAATATGAGAGAAAAATGGAGAACTTACAATCCTGTCTTGTCTTTTACTATTTTAGTAGTCTGTTACATGCCTCACGGTATGCATTTCTGATTTACACTCAATGACAGCGTTTCTGATTTACACTCAATGACAGCGTATCACGGTATCGGAGATTCTAGTAGATGAATGGTTTAAGAAAGATTACAAGCCTCCTGTTTTTGAGGAGAAAGGAGAGGGCAACATTGATGATGTTGAAGCCGTCTTTAAAGATTCCAAAGTATGTCGAAGATGATAAGTACTATGATTACGGTATTGGCTTCTGTCAGTTATGTGACGACTAACATAAAGGGGTTTTTTCATGTTCACAGGAGCACCATGTGACCGAGAAGAAAGAAGAACAGCCAACACCTATGAATGCATTTGACTTAATCTCCATGTCCAAAGGGCTGAACCTTGAAAATTTGTTTGATATAGAGCAGGTTCGCAACTTTACATGATGAGTATGTTTTTCTTGTATTGTTATGGAACTGTAGATTCGCTGAATGAGCACCCATTTCTTTGCTTCTGCTTCTCAAGCATACGGTACTAAAAAGATTTTCGAGGAAATCCATAGAAGCGAACGGATTAATCTGATCATGATTATATTTGAATTCAATCATACAAGTGCATCAGTCTCGTCCCTTTTTTGCTATGCATTTGCTATGTGATATAAAAATAGGAAAATTACGCAATCATTTGAAGTAATGTAAATGTGATATGGGAATTGTATAACTTTTTGGGTAGATAAAGGAACTGGTTAACTTTTGTCCAAGGCATAATCTGATTTAGGCAGAAAATTTTCTTTTACTATGCCACCTTGAGCAGAATATGAAATTTTTTGCTTGATTACTATTTGAATTTTTGTATTCTGATGTGAATTGTTTCAGGGATTTAAAAGGGAAACAAGATTCACTTCAAAATGCCCTGCCAATGAGATAATCAACAAGATCGAAGAAGCTGCAAAACCTCTTGGTTTCGATGTGCGCAAGAAAAATTACAAGGTAACCCAAAATTGCGGAACTCATTATCAACTCTCACTCAAAGAAAAACTTGATCTATAGTTAGTTTTTATGTATTTGAACCCACAGATGAGGCTTGAAAACGTAAAGGCTGGAAGGAAAGGAAACCTTAATGTTGCCACAGAGGTACATAACATGAGTTTTTGTTATATAATGAAGTGTAACACAATTTGTCCAGTGTGATGTATACGAGTTATATTTTAAGCAGGTATTTCAAGTGGCACCTTCCCTTCACATGGTTGAGGTGAGGAAAGCAAAAGGTGATACGTTGGAGTTCCATAAGGTATATCATTCTGTCCCTTTGATTTTTTCATTCACCAGGTCCTTGATTGCTTGCTATAATTTTCTGTTCGCTGTGCATGTGAGAGAAGCTAGCTTCACTCTTCATTACGTGTGAGGCTTTTAGTCTGAAATTTATTTCACTAGAAAGTAGAAACCCGTGCAAAATGATATAGCAAATTATTATATATTTCCCTCAAAAGTACATGTTAAATTTAGTCCTTCAGAGATAGGTACCAATTTACTATCATTTGACTCCATTTCTTTCAAAGAACGCACCACCATTATCTTGGAGTGAGTTTTGCTGAAAATTATTTTAGTCAACTTCAAGACCAAATTGTGATAATTATCTTTCAATTACTGGATTGATCAAACATAGACTAGGGCCGTGTTTTGCTGGTGGACTGTTCTTTTTGCTGGGGGTAATACAATAAGGATGAAAATCAGAGAGATTAACTTGGACACTGGTTCAGAAATTGGGTATTGGTGATGAGATCATACTTCTTCCTGGAATCTAAATATAAGTTTACTTGGAATATTATCAGAGAGCATATCCACACAAACCTTCGATGTAACTGAAAATCAAATTTTTGCCTGTCCCTGTCTGCAGTTTTACAAAAATCTATCGACAACTCTCAAGGATGTCGTCTGGAAAAGTGAAGATGATATGCAAGAACCAAAGTGAAATCATCGATATTGTTGTCATGTGTAGTTTCTTCATGGCTTATGATGCTGTCATTTTTCCAGTTTCCTGGTTTAATTTTCCCAACAAACTACCCTGTTGGAGGTTTGATTGGACATATATGATCATCATCACATGGCTTTCTGGGTTATTATTGTGAGAAAGCATGCATAATAGTTCATGTAAGTATTGCCAGTCAACAGCTGAATCATGTTAATGAAACATCTGCAAATCATATGGATGTATTGTCAGTCAACCTTTATGTCGTTCGTTAGTTTATTTCCCTTTACTGCTAGCTTTCCCAAACTGGGCCTTTATAGAGTAGAAAGGAAGAAAAGGAAAAACACTTTTTGTGTTCTTTTTTGAAGATATTTTTAATCCAATGACACAAATTAATGAAGGTTGGTTCCTGAAAAAAAAAATGTGGTTCACAAATGCTTCATTAATTTATGTAGGAATGAGATTAGGAATCTAGGAAGAATAAATAATTTTGGCTTGAAATGACCTTAAGATCGTAAGTGGAGGAAAATTAATGTTTTTCCATATGATCAAACCTAATCAAAATGTTTATATTAAAAAAATATCACTGTTAATAATATCCCAATGCTCTCTAAATTTACTCAATATAAATTGTTTTTTGACAGGGTTATATTCTATGGAAAAAATAATTATTCTTTTTCATAAATTATTCAAATATTTTGCTTGCAAAGGCTTCCACCCTAGTCCTTCTCGAAGTTATCCTCATATCTTGGAGATAGGGTTTTATTATAATTTCATTTTCTGGTTTGGTCAATGATTTTATTAGAATTTTTTATTTCGACAATATCCATTCGTGTTGGCTTGCCTGTTTTCTTTCTCTGCTGATCACTGATTATTAAAGTATGTTCTCTCCATGATTAGATTTCGTACTGTTCTGGAGACTTCAGTTTCGTTTCTCTTAAGTTAAGATTTTAGCAGAGAAAAGGTCCTTTTCTGAGTTCTGATGTTTGGATAAATGGAAAAAAACATAGAAAAATGAAAAATGATTTTTTTTAATACAAATCACAACTACAATAATACCTCTCGACTTAAATATTGGAATTAGACAATACGAGCTTTGTTTTTCTTTAAAATACTACTCCTCCGGTCCTTAATATAAGATCCATTTAACTAATTTGATTAGATTAAGGAAGTTAGGTAAGTTAGTTAATTATAAGAAAAGTGACACATTTTTCCTAAAACACCATAATCATCTTTCTTAATACTCCTCTCCCTCTTCTACTTGATTATGGTTGAGGGAATATCTATAAGGGTAATTTAGAGAAAATTAATAAATATGAGAAATGGGTCTTATATTTAGGATCAAAACTAACTCAAGAATTGGGTCCTATATTAAGGACCGGAGGAGTATTAGATACTAAATGCGGATGTCTCTTTTAGTGAGAATTCAAATATTGGTTCACTATGTTTTGAAGAATTAATTCTTTTTATTAGACTTGATTCTAGTTGATGATATTATAATGGCTTTACTTTCATTGTAATTTGTCTTAAGGTCAATGGTGCTTGGGCTACTATCAAATTGACCACGTTTACGTGTAGGAATGAAATATGTTGGGAAAGAATGTTACGTGACATTAAATTAATTAAAATTTGGACTGGTCAAACTCATCGTAAGTTTGATTGTTTCGGTCCAATTCTCCTGTTTATAATGATTACGTAGAGGTTTCATTAGAAAATAAAGTTTATATTTTAATTTAATTTCAATGATTCAACATTTACTTTAAATTACTTGAAAAAAAAAAGTTATCCCTATAGTATCCTTGCATTATTGTTTTATTACAACTAACTAATAGATGATATTACGAAATCATATTCTAATATTATTTAATATTTTTTTATAACTCACTCATCCATTATATCTTCGGAACTTCACACTAAAAAAAGACTTAACTCTTTGTAAATTAATTTTTTTTAAGATATGTACATATTGAATCAAACGAAACTGAATTGGATGAAAATATTTCGGTTTGGTTCATTCAGTTGATTGGATCACGCTGTCCTAATTGATGCCAATTAGGCCTAATTTAGCCAATCTTTTTGTTTTTTGGCCAAATCAACTAGTATTTATAAATTTTGTACAAAGCTAAGTGGGAAATCCATCCAAAATTACAACAAGGCTAAAATATGTATTTGATCCTTTAATTTTATATAAAATTTTAATTTAGTTCTTTAACTTTAAAAAAACATACATTTGATCATTTAACCCTAAAATTGTTATGCTTAAATGATAATTTTTTGTAACAATAATAGTTGTTTTAAAAATTAAATTCAATATGTTAACAGTTGAAAATATTTTATCAATATTTAAGATCTCAATACATCATTTTTTTGTAATAATTTTAGAGTTAAAGAACTAAAAGTATAATTTTTAAAGTTAATAAATTAAATTAAAACTCGTTATAAAATTAAAAAATTAAATATATACTTTAGTTTTGCAATAGTTATTCAACCAAAATAATTTAAATTTGAACAAATAAAATCAAATGGACCCATTTAATTTGGTTGGGCTCAACATTTTTGCAGACCATCCAAAGCTCATGATATGTATCATTCAATATTCACTAGTCTGCCCAACACGCATTTTTCATCGCACTTTTGTTTATAAATAACGACATTGAAACTTCACCAGCAGGATATGGTCATATATCACAAATGAAGCTGTCTTCTAAAAGTATTATCACAAATCACAATATTTAGTTTCAATTCTCACATTACAAATGAATGAATGTTGGAAATATTAATTCAAAAAAAATTATTGAAATTAAGCCGGTACTTTCCAAGATATGAAAGTTGCTAAATTTCAGGAGGGTAAAACGACAGCCCTCATCAACGGGAGTGCAAGAAGAGGCGTCACTGATTTAAATTGCCATTTATTTATCTTTCTTTGATCAAGATATAATGATATTATGTTATATATTAATGGGTAGGGATCAGATGTCTCTTCAAAATTATTTTGATTTGATCCTTATTTAATTTTAGAAAATTAAATAAATATATAGCCTTATTTATATATATTGAAAAAAACTAAATCCTAACATTCAATTTATATATTAGATCCTATTACTAAATTGATATGTTATAATAATGTTTCATTATTATAAATTCAATGAATTTGAGGAGTTAATTCTGTGCCTCTTATTTTGTTTTTTTTATATGCATAGGTGATCCAAAAATCATTTGTTTGAATTTTGTTTAAATACAAAGAAACTAGCTCTTTATATTTATTTATTTTTTGCTATATTCCTATAATTAAATATCACACATACAATTAACAAGTTTGAAATAAGAAAATACGAGGGCAAAAAAAATTTTAAATTTTTGCAAATAAATATCACAAAAAAGTTGAAGTTGATAAAATATTATCATTTCGTCTGCTAAAGTCATTATAATTTTTATTTTTGGTGCCAAATTCGGATTTCTCTTTTGCCCTACGTGCCCCAGTGTTTCTTTAAAGATCTATTAGTTTGACATTTAATAAAAGATATGTTGGTAGCCGCACCTAAGTTCTCTAAAAATCCAGCGGATCTTCCAGCTCTTCTGTAATGCGATGCAAGTTCTGTTGACGATAATACTTGCAAAAAAATGGTAAATCCGAGTCATATCTTATGGACACTGTCCTTAAGAACTATTTTACAATGACTGGCAAAGCAAGAAGTGACGCTCCTTGAGATTAAATGGATTCTTCTTGCAAAAGCAGGGTGAGCAGAATAGCAAAAGACAGAAGAACTTAACAGGGTAGAATAATAGAGGAGGGAAGAGAGAGTTGCTTGAAAGCTCAAAGCTCAAGAGGTTATCATGAACTTCACTCTCATGCACCTTTTATAGGCTGCGAATGACAATATCATTGGACACATTTAAACATGTTTAATGGAAATTAACTCATAATTAAGTGAGTGATTTCAAGTAGTAATTCATTTGTTTAATGACTATTTAAGATGAGTAAAATCTTTGGTTTCGAACATTGAAGAGGTATACTTGTAATTAAAATGATATATTAATTAGACATATATCTCCAATAAAATGTCCAGTATTGCATTTGACTAATGCATAAGAGGTGATAGTAAATTGTTGGATTTGTTTCCGATGGCTCATTATCCGTGCAAGCCCACTCCTCTTCTTGGCTCATTTAGTAGTTTAAGATTACTTATTACTTGAACCCCCACAATCCCAAATAGTGTGGAACTCTTCTTTTGACACACTTACACGTTATTTACAACAAGATACAATATCTAGAATTTGAAATTTTATGAAAATAAATGTAGAGATATGTAATTTTTTTGTTAAAAAAATATCATTACCTTTTGAAAACAAAAATGGTCAAAACTTTGCCTTAATAAAAGGTAATTTGTTTTCAAAGACAACGATTTTTTTTTTGTAGTTTCTAATTTGATGTGTAGCAATTTCATCCACAAGATTGTTGTCATATTTTTTTATTAGGTCTAATTTTCTTAAATTTTTTTTTTTGCTGTATCAAGTATTTATGAATTTTATACAAATCTAAGTGGAAAATCCATACAAAAATTAAAACAATTATTCAACCAAAATAATCCAAATTTGAACAAATAAAATCAAAATCGACCAATTCAATTTGGTTGAATTCCAACATCTTGCAGACCATTCAATATAATGAACTTTGGATGATCTGCAAGATATTCACTGTTTTGGATGAAACTTAATTAAATTAAAGTCGTCAAATTTAATAGTTTAGCCAACTCATTATTGTTCAAAGTATAGGTACTTCTCTTAGAAGAAATTTTAATTTTAATTTTTCACTTTATAAGAAACTAGTCCCATTCTACTAAATTTAACCCCGGTTGGGAGTTATATTACTGTTGTTTTTGCTAAACACAGATATTATCATATTAAAAAAAATCCTATTTAGATATTATCGGGTATTGAATGTGAACACTTCTGGTAATGGTTCAAACTTCCATTAGAAATATAAAAACAAATTCTGGTAAAAAACTTCGGATGGACCGTGTGTAGTATTATCTTGGGCTGTATTGGGCCTCGTCCCCTGCAACGTGAAAATTGCGACTCAGTGTTCCTTTTTTAATTTTAATTTTAACTTTAACTTTTTGTTTTTGGCCATCTCTGTTCTCCTTTTGATTACCTGCCGTCCTCTTCTTTGGGCGTCGCACCCAATTGGCGATGGGTGAATCACCTGTATAGAGATCTTTCGCCTCCATTCTCGGTATGTTGTTTTTCTTCTCTCTC